AAAACTATAAAAGTTTAATAACTACGCCCGAACAAATAAATTAGATTTAAATCTTATTTTGGTCCTAAACTTTTAAATTACTTCTATTCGATTTATGAATTTATTTAGACACCTAATATTTTCTTACCTAATGTTCATTTCTAATATACTAGGTTTAAATATGTTCACGATTAATATATTAATATTTATACTCGAAACAATATGATCAATTTGTTAAAAGATAAAATAAAAGTAAAACATGTTATTTTTTTAAAGTTTAAAAACGAAAAGAGACATTTTGAAAGTTTAGAGACTAAAATAGACTTTTTGAAATTTTATGGACCGAATACCAAACCTTAAAATTTAGGACCTAAACCTGAATATCACGATAATATTTATATCATGTTCCTTTAAAAGGTACATAATAAAGTTGGATACAGCTTGAAACATGACAAACATTTTTGGATCCAAATTTGACATTATAAAAGTAAAATGTAAAGGTTTTGACTTTGGCTGTGCCATTTTCAATCGCGATCCTCATCTTGAGATTTTTCTCATTCAAAGCTTGCACGTTTGACAAATGATGGGTGGTCCATAGATCATACATGCAAGTTTTTATAAACTAAAAATGGGATATTTATGTATCTTGAGGGTAAAAATCAAACAGAACACGTATCCACAGTTGAGAGGCGTGAGACCATATATGGTTATGAACCGTGACAGGGATGTACACCTCCGTCCCTCGGTGCATAATACTGATTTCTTAAGTTTCTCTTATATGTATGAATGTAGAAGAAGAAAACGTTCTCTCTGAAGGGATATGGAGAAGAACGATGAATATCTAATTTGAAAATCATAATCCCTATGTAATCGACTGATTACAGTGTTTTATGAATTCTAATTCGACCCCTCGTCAAATTAGAAATTAACTTATGGTATTTATATACATTTTACTCAGGGTCAATTTATAATTATTCTTCGTACAAAATCTATAGATAATTAGATTACTTCCCTTGATTTTTTTTAGTACAACAGGTTGGGTGAGAGATCTAATCACAACCTATTGATCAGAGATATATGTCAATTACGCTGAGTTATGACAGATCACTTCCTTGGTTTAATTAAAAATCAGAAAAAAATACACTAAATAATTACACGTGGCATAATATATTAAAAATTCCAACAAAATCAAATCAAGCAGTAATTGAACAAATTAAACTACCACTCCGAAGAAATCATATTTAAGTGATTTTGGCATATATATACTTTTGGTTGATTGGTAATTTAAATAGGATTCTAAAATTCTATATATCCATCAACTAGATATATATGAAAAGAAAGGAATATTCTTGGTAAAAAAGATCAAGTATAAATATATTAATGGAAGAACATGATCACTCTAGGCCATAAACTATATATGTGTGTAAAACCAAAGTTTTCTTTATTTAGCTAAATTTTAGATAATAAAAACGAAAAAAAAAACAAAATTCTAGTTTTGTTTTTATTATTAGCTAAAATTATTAAATACACTTTTAAATATAAATAATATAAAAGATAATAGGACTAGAAACACTTTGATGACTTTTTTTATATTCATTGTCCCAAATAGAACTATATGTGACACTTGTACTTTGATTGTTATTATAAATTCTCTCACTCCTCTCTCTAAAGCATATATTCAGAATTTTTTTAAAAAATAAATGACAAAACTAGTGTTGGTTTCAAAGTAATTAAAAAATAGGGTAGATAAATTGTAGGTATAGACTTTGATTTGCCCAAAGTCGCAGACGATAACTGCAATTTTATCGTAAATCACAGCCATTACTTGTAACTAATACTGAAATCGCGGTCATTCAGCCACGTGACGGGGCGTTTGTTCTTTTTTTATTGGCTGCGACTTGTTTGTTTTTTTTTTTGTTAAAAGTTGCAGCCTATACTTCCCTCCATTTCTTTTTTTTTTCAATTTTGAATTTAGAATTTGTAGTGCGACTTCCTATCAATATCCCTTTGTTTTTTTCTTTTTTTTTTGAATTTTTATTTTAAAAAACCAGAATTTTAAGAAAAAGACTATCATCTTAATTTTCTGAAAAATAGATCATGATTTACCTACAACATGGTGGACATATTCCTGTAATGCAATAATTATAAAACAAACAAAACTCTAATTATACATATCCCAAAATTTGAGTTTTGTTTTAAAGCCATGTATTTTGCAATGACATTTTAATCATCGAGTTGGTTTTAATATAATTTTAAACTTTTAGACTTTAAATAACATTTTAATCAAAATTTAAAATAAAATAACAAAAAAAAATTAATCTCATCCTAATTAAAGTTCGCAATATTAATAAAATAACAATATATAAATTAAAATATAAATAAATAAAATAAAATAATAAAAAGGTGAAATGTAGCGACTTCTAAAAATAAAAAATAAAAAGGTGAAAGTCTATACGCAACTTCCACTTAGTCATCTGCCACATCAAGACATGGAATTTGCAGGCATTGTACGCTAGTTTTGACTTTTATTTTGACCTAATCTATTTTTGTCAATACTTTTAAAAACCTAACTTACATTTGAATTTATTTATTTATATTACATTTATTTTGTAATTATTTTTAAACTAACATTATTTTTTAATTTATTTTTAAAAGTAGAATATTTTAAAACTTTGTCTCATAAATTCTCTATCAAATTATAATAAGATCATAAAAAATATTAGCAACCCAACAAAAACACCATTCACAAAAATAGAAATTCAAACTTATCAATATTCTTTGGAAAAAAAAGTTTGATCTTTTGTTATATCGGCAAACTTATTAAATAATAATACGCCTCTATCTAGCATCAATTCGATAACATATTATAATAGCAAATTCAAGTAGAGATATCCCGTGACGGATCTAGGAGTTTAAGCTATAAACATAATAAAAATTATCAATTTTAAACTGAATTTGATAATATGGATATTCATTTGCACCTTACATTTTGATAAATATGCTGTAATCTTCGTCTTAAACTTTAGAACATCTTGCAAACTTTACTCTTTGATATATTTTCATTTAAAAATTTGCTGAAAAAATTATTCTCACATACATATATTTGTAATTCGTATAAAATTAAGACAGTAGAGCTTAAAAAAAACATATATATAGTGTTTTTTTCTCTCTGTTTTTTGCCCTTTTAATTCTCTTTTCTTATTGGTCAGACATTATACATACATTAAGCAACTTTCCAACGAAAGAGAAAAAAAAAGAAAAAAACAACCATTATATATATAGATTCAAAATGAAAGTTCTAGAACAGCTTTCATAATAAACCAGTCCAAAGAAACCAAAATATTCTGGCTAGATGAACAACTTACATGTAATAGCCAAGGACATTTCTCATACATTTSAAACGTTCAATGTTTATTTAAGGAAGAAAAAAAAAAACATTCATACCATTCAATCATTCGGGTCTCTTTTATCAATATAATTTAAAGTTTAAATATTATGGTGGTTCCGGTATTTTAACTTCAGTTGATCCACGTAGTTTTAAAATGTCTGATTGGATCCCTTTAATTTTAAAAAGAGACTACTTTAGTGCATTCATTTTCAATTTTATCTTAATTATCTCTATCATAATTATAGCATAACATTCCACTCGTTTATTAGATTTTTTTGAAATATAGCCATAATTTTATATTAAAAGATTTCCACGATATATTAAATTTGTATTAAAATTTTACAAATAATGATCAAATTTGTCACTTTTTAAAAGTACATCACTAAAGTAGACGTTCTAAGAATACAATGATCAAAATAGATAAAATTTGAAAGTACAGGAACTAACAAATCAACCTTTAAAAAGACAGGAATTAAAATAAATCAAAGCTAAAACTACAAAGACTTAAATAATATTTAAATCTATAATCTAGGGTTAAAGTAAACCTAAAGCCTCACTCTCTCACGTGCACCTTTCTTTTATCAAATCTCAGAGACATGGTCTAATCAAGAGGGATCGAGCGCTCTTGCACCAAAGAAGAACGGACCCCTCTTTCCTTTTTTTATTATTGGAAGGGGGACAACTTTCTCGCTTGTTGCTTGTATACTCCCGTGGGTCGGACGTCGAGAAGTCAGCTCGGTTTATGAACCCCTTTCCGATTCCCTCACCCAATCTCATGATTCAGCCATTACCCAGCTTACACGTGTACAACATTTTTGTGCTAAAATTTCCAAACCGTCAAAGTTGTTGGGGTTAAGTAATCCAATGTTAATTATGTATTTTCCTTGGCGTATTCCAATACTTTTCCTTGCAGATGTATCCACCCTCTCAATGACATAAGAAATTATTCAACATATGACCACCCATGGCATCATAACGTTCGATCTTTTAAGTACATATAAAACGTTTTAATGAGTTGAACCATGTTTAAAATTTACTTACCTCTAATAATTATTTGATACAGTTTTGAAATACAAATTTTATAAACTTCTTGTCTTACAAATCAATATTGTCAACCACATTATTCCAATCTCTCAAATAAAATAATAATAATAATATAAAAAACTATCCAAACATCATCACTCCACTAATATCTGTTCAAGTTTAAAATTTATATGCCCTTAATAACCGTTTGATATTTGTTCAAAATACAAACTTTAAATTTCTCCCTTGTACGTCTGTTGTATAGAAYTATCAACCACATTGTTCTAACCCTTAAAACAAAATTTCAATTTAGTTTCTCCATTTGAATATAGGTTCGAAATCAATCTATCCTAAAAATTGTTTGATACAACCTCGAAATATAATTTTTAATTTCTTTACGAAATTGTTATTCCAGCCTCTCAAATAATATTTAAAAAAATACATATAGATAAATTAAAACGTAGAGAGAGAAAAAGAGAGATGGGTGGGATTGGGAAGAAACGGCATAAAAAGGAGAGTTGGTAGTTGCAAAACTGATAAACTGCCAAAATTCCCACTTGTCAATATTTCAAAAGAAAGCAGAAAAAGAAAAAACTCAGTCAAAAGAAGACGCTAAATCCAGTAGATTTATATYCCCTTCTTCATTTTCCAACCACAATATAAACAAAAAAAGAGGAAAAAAAGAAGAAGAAAAAAACTAGAGACAATTGATCAGTGGAGATCAAGAACTTAAATTTCATGGAAATGGAATCCGTAGTTGTGGAGCTAGAAGGAACTCTCTTGAAGAGCTCCGATATTTTCTCCTACTTCATGCTGGTGGCCTTTGAGGCCTCCGGTTTGATCCGGTTCGGGCTTCTGCTCTTCTCGTGGCCGCTCGTACGCCTTCTCGAGGTGGCGGGGTTGGAGGAGGCGGCGCTGAGGGTGGCGGTGTTTGTTGCGGTGGCTGGGGTTCGGAAGGCAGAGATCGAGGCGGTGTCGAGGGCGGTTCTGCCCAAGTTTTTTATGGAGGATGTGGATATGGATGGGTGGAGGGTGGTGAGCGGGTTCGAGCGGCGAGTGGTGGCGACGAGGCTGCCAAGGGTTATGGTGGAGCGGTTCGCAAAGGAGCATTTGCGAGCCGATGAGGTTATTGGGTGCRACCTCGGGTTTAATCGGTTAGGGTTTGCGACCGGGTTTGTGAAGGGAGGAATTGGTTGTGTTGGTGAAGAAATTTGTAAGGTTTTTAATTTGGGTAATGGTGGAAGTCGGCCTAGTATGGGTTTGGGAAGACCTTCCTCGTGTTCTTCGTTTTTGGGTCTTTGCAAGGTACGTTGTGAAATTTTTGCATGTCATTTTGAGCTTAATTAGCTTCCTAATTAATCATATTTCATTTGGTTAAATCTAAAAAAAAACTAATTAAATGTTAACATTTTCAGAAAGAAAGTGATCATGAGTTGATATTCAATACAAAGGATATGAAAAAGAAAAAAAGTTAAATCCATAACGGTGACTTGGGTTATATAGAAACTAGAAAAAAATGAGAGTGTTTTTAGCTTCGTGATTTGAAGCAATATAAGATTCAATTAAAATAGGGKTGTTTCAGCGTTTTTAAATATATGTTTGTAGCATATTTAGAATTGAATCTCACTTAAAAAAAATGTTTAGAAATATACTAAACTAGTATTACGTACAAACTAAATATTTGGTTAAACCTAAAATAATATTAATTAATTTATTAATGTATGCATTATAAATTTTGTATTATTATTATTTTACAAAATTATATATTTTATAATATATTATATTTTACATGTTTWRKTTYMAMSRARRWWAAA